CAACCATTCTTGTGAAAATGAGTTTAATTTGCATGTGAATGAAAACTTATTATCATATGAAAGGATGAGCACCAGGACTCGTTTTGAAAATGAGGCCAATGGTAATTCGGAAATGGGCTATTCCTCTCTCACGTAATATATTGAATGTTTTTGTCCTGCAGCGGATACAGAGGCTAAAGGTGTGACGGCTACCGGCAAGTACACGGGTTGCATACGCAACTTGCAGTCTAAAGATCTTAGCAAGTCAGCCAAGTCTCTGAAGCTTGCCAATCCTGAACAATTAGGTGGAAATGTTTACCTTGGAGGGTGTCCTTACAACTAATGAACCATTACTTCACTTTCTCCAAAGTGTCTCTCCAATTAGTTTAAATGAACCATTACTTCACTTTCTCCAAAGTGTCTCTCCAATTAGTTTAAAGGGACAAGGCTTATAGGTTTTGTTTACATTTTAGACCAGTTTTTTATAGAATTTTTCACTTCTCTTTCACGATGTAGTTTTTTAAAAAAAAAAACTATGTCCAACGAGCAAGATGTATTTCTTAGATACCAGCATAAAAAGATAAAGAATGCTTTTAAGTTCTTAACACTGCATCTTCTCTTGAATACATGTTACTTTTCGTTAGGAATAAAAATTTTACTTCACTTTTGCAATGTTGTCATTTTCCGACAATATTACCATTAAGCAAGTAATACGTTACGTTCTTAAACATCCTTTATTACCTACACAGTACACAAATAGTTCTTCCTCCCAAAGGGCATATAACATGCTCCCCAACAAGTGGAATATCGAAAATATTCAATATTCGTACAGGATTTTCTAGGCCTGCGAAAGAGCTGTAACTTTCACACTTGCACTTACGGAAGAGCTAACCACGCCCTTTCTAACATGCTATAAACTTGTGAATATTAGAACAACAGAAATTCGTTAATGAGCTTTTCAACGAGGTATAAATTGTCCAGGAATTCTCCTTTTTCGAGTTGAAAGCTCGTTTTAGCGAGTAACTCTTCTAGATTAACTTAAAGCTAAATAGCAAATTGTTTTATCACTCACAGGAATTTCTCGGGCCACAAAAGAGCTGTAGCTTTCGCACTTACACACAATACACAGCTAGTCACGGTCTTTTTAACGAGCTATAAACTGTCCAGGAATTCCCCTTTTTCGAGTTGAATACTCGTTTTAGCTAATGGTCCTTCCAGATTTACCAAAAGCTCATTAACGAGTTTATATTGCTTTAACATTCAGAGAGGATCTTCTAGACTCACAAAAAAGCTATAGCTTTGAGACTTGCACACAATACACAGCTAATCACGCTCTTTTTAACGAGCTATGAATTGTCCAGGAATTCCCCCTTTTTGAGGTAAAAGCTCGTTTTAGTTAGTCGTCCTTCCAGATTAACCAAAAGCTGATTAACGAATTTCTATTGTGTTAATATTCAGAGAGGATTTTCTCGTCCCACTAAAGAGCCGTAGCTTTGAGACTTTCACACAATACACAGCTAATCACGCTCTTTTAACCAGCTTTAAATTATCCAAGAATTCCCCTTTTTCGTAGAGAT